CCTTCCTTCCTTCCTTCCTTCCTTCCTTCCTTCTTCCCTTCCCTTCCCAATGTACAGTAATTCTGTTTTAATGTATCACTTCTTTTCTATGTTTTTAATTAGTCTTTTAATGTTGTGAGCAGCTCTGGGTCCCAGTTCTGGGGAAAGAGCAGGATGATGGTCAGGATGATGATGATGATGAGGATGAGGATGATGATGATGAGGATGATGGGCCAATCTCTCACAAACACTCCCAGCTACACACTTTGGGGGAATTGCCTCTAGGGAATCTGGTTGCTGTTGCTGCCCACCAAAGTCCAGACATGCTAGGACCAGAAGGAGAACTGCTGGGCACCATTGTCTCCTTCCAGCCCTCTCCAGCCAAATCTGGACCCACCTCCCTTTCTGCAGAAATAATCCAGTCTGAGACCGCTTTAATGGCTGAGCTGTGAACTGGACCCTGGTCCCCATAGTTGTAGCCCAGCACTCAAACCATTATGCCATACTGACTTTCATCCCCCATCCCTAAATAGTGTACACTAAAGGCACCAGATCCTGTCTGATCTTGGAAGCTAAGCAGGGTCAGCCCTGGTTAGTACTTGGATGGGAGGCCACGAAGAAACCCTAGGTTCTGGAGGCTCTGTTTCAGAGGAAGAAATGGACAAATCCACCTCTGAGGAGCCCTCTCCTAAAAAAAACCCCCCAAACTCATGGAGTCCCCTAGGCACAAATGCACAAACACACACAAGGCCCCAGATCCCATCTGATTTTGGAAGCTAAGCAGGCTGAGCCCTAGTTAGGACCTGGATGGGAGACCAGCAATGAATCCCAGGTGCTGGAGGCTCTTATTGGCAAAACCATCTCTGAGGAGTCCTTGCCTGAGAAACCCCTATGAAATTCATGGGGCCAACATAAGTCAAAGGGGCAACTTGTAGGTACACAGACACACAAACACACAGATCCTGTCTGATCTCAGAAGCTAAGCAGGGTCAGTGCTGGTTAGCCCCTGGGTGGGAGACGGCCAAGCAGGGAATCGAACCCTGGTTTCCAGAGTCATAGTCCAGCGCTCAAACCACTATGCTGTGTATAATTGCTTAGAGTGATTAAATCTTGGAGCGGGTGGAGACTTTTTAAAAACCAAGGGCATATCAATTAAAAAGATAATAATTTACAGACCATTATCAGAGTCAATGCATCTTCCCTATATATGACTGACTCATCATGGGAATACATTTAGCATTTTATGCTCTCCAACGCCATGCAAATATCCTTTGCTTAAATTTCATTGACCCACCCAGGGACCCCATGCAGCCCATGCACCTGTATATATCTGTAAGATCTTTTATAGCAGATCTTCCCTGGAATATTATTTTCAACAAAGATAGCTCCTTTTCCGGCATTTTGGCACCACTGTACAGTATTGCTTCTCCCTTTCTTCCAATTCTATACTCCCCAATATTTTAAAGTTTGCTGAATGCTTGCAACAAGGTGAGAGAATCACAGGAAGGCAATATCTTTAGTGCCTATTAGCTGCAGGGAGGAGTAATTGCAGCAGAATTATGTAACCAGGGTTTTGGTGGTTTCCTCCTCTTTTTTAGAGTCATAAAATCATATTGGAGGGGACCACAAAGGCCATCTAGTCCAACCCCTTGCTATGCAGGAATATATACAAATACAGCACTCCTGTTATTGTTCCAAAAAGGTCTGCTCATCTCCAAGTCATATATAGGGAAGTTGGGCCAAAAAGGAGAAGGCACTCCCTAAATAATAATAATAATAATAATAATAATAATAATAATAATAATAATAATAATAATAATAATAATAATAATTATTATTATTCACTTTTCTGGGAAAAGAAAAGACTTCTTAATTTTACATAACCCTCTCTTGTTTTCCCCCCAACAGTTTCCATCCTGATGGTCCTGACAGAGGAATTCAAGGATGGGGAGAAAAGGCAAAGTCTTTTTTTGAAAGAAAGAAAAACAGAAAGAAAGAAAGAATATTTTTTTTTGAAAAGTTATCTTCTGTAACAGGGATAAACAAAAACTTTTTTTTTCCTAAGGGGGAAGAGTTCTTATTTATTTATTTATTTATTTCCCTCAAGTACAAACTACAGGAGGAAAGGGAAATTTTCTCATTAAAGTTACATCCCTGCAGTTAGTTCAATTACTTGATATATGCAGAAGATGTTGTAAATTTAAAGATTTAAATAGCTTACAAAGATGCCGGAGGCTCCATCAGTTAATTTCCTTAATTTATGGATTTTTTAGCTCAGCTTCAGAAAAGGGGTGGGGGAAAAATGAAGAAGAAGAAGAAAAGGGGAAAGAGAACTAGGTCAGTGGAGAGAGTTGCATCCAGCCCAAGATTCCCAGGTTTTGCCTTGTCCTTCCCAGGGACACCTTTTGCTGGACATGGACCAGGGAGGCCAGGGACATTTGGTGGGGCTTCCAAAAAGGGCACTTCTGGGAGAAGGGACTTGAATCCAAAACACCCACCGATGCTCTAAGCAGAAAACCATCCTTGCAAACCATTGCGGCAGTTCGGATGGGACAATGCTCCAGCTTTGTCATCTCCTCCTTCTCCCTTTCTCTTTTACTTCTTCTTTCCTTCCTTCTCCCCATCTCCCTCCTCCTATTTTCCTCCATCCATCCTTCCTTCACCTTTTCCTTCCTTTTCTTATTAGTCCTCAACTACCCTTCTGCAGCTTGGTTTTTCCTTTCCTCCTTCTTTCCTCTTCCTCTATCGTCTTCTTCTTCTTCATCACCCACAACCTGCATACGGTGTTTCCTGGGAATATGGACAACTGCAACTTTGTTTCCCCTTTTCTCCTTCCTCCTCTTCATCATCTTCTTCTCCTTCTTTCTTCTCTTCCTCTTTCCCTTCCTCCTTCTCTTCTTTCTCCTCCTCCTCCTCTTGCAAACTGTTTAGCCTGTGAATATGGAGTGTAGCTTTCTTTTCCCTTTCCTTCACCCTTCCTTCCTTCTTTTCTATTATCCTTCCTTCCTTCCTTCGCCTCTATCATCCTCTATCATCCTCTATCCTGCTCCTGTCACTATTGCACAATTGCGCAAAAATTATCAGACGACGTCCCACAACGTTGTGATAATCACATCATTATCTCACAAATAAAAAGGAATTTATTGTCATGAATGAAAAGTAGAACTAGAATTCCTCTTTATTTGCAGGATAATGATGCAATTATCGTGATGTCGTCTGATAATCTTTCCGCAATTGCCCAAGAGTGACGGGAGCATCCCGCTATGCTCCCATCACTTTTGGCCATGTGAAAGTCTCCATCCTTGAATATGGACAACAATACAGCTTTGTTTCACCTTCCTTCCTTCCTTCCTTCCTTCCTTCCTTCCTTCCTTCCTTCCTTCCTTCCTTCCTTCCTTCCTTCCTTCCTTCCTTCCTTCCTTCCCTGTCCTTTATCCTTCTTCCTTCTCTATCATCTTGTGCACATAGACAACAGCACATTTTGTTTCCCTTTTCTTCCTTCCTCCTCTTTTCTTCCTTCTCTTCTATCACCATCTTTCTCCTCCTGTAAACTATTTCTCCTGTAACTATGGAAAACAGTAAATATGGACACCACATGCGTAACTCCACTTTTGTTACCATCAGCTTAATATGGACTTTTAAGTATTAACCAAAAAAAGTAGAACTACACATGCAAGGGGACATATGCATGCCTAAGAAACTAAGGTCTCATCTGCACTGCAGAATTAATGCAGTTTGACACTGCTTTATCTGCCATGGCTCACTGCTATGGAATTCTGGGAATTGTTTTACGAGCTATTTAGCCTTCTCTGTCAGAGAACTCTGCTCTCACAACAAACTACAAATCCCAGGTTTCCATATCATGGAGCCACGGCAGTTAAAGCAGTATCGAAGCGCATTATTTCTGCAGTGCAGAGGTGCCCCGTGAAAGCATTAAGGATGGAACAAATGCCCCAAAGAAGAGTCCTGTCTTTGTGTAATACAAACCTTGTATGCGATTCTCCTTTCTTCTCTTTTCTGTCTGGGCCAGTTTTGCAGCGGCGTGTTTCAATCCATGAGAATATATACATATACATTAACACTTAAAAGATGCAATGCAAACTAACTTGAGTGAGGAAGGAACGTGATGAAGTAGTGGTGTTTTCAATCTAACATTTCTTTTCCCACTAGATGAAGTTTCTAAGATTTGCAAGGTACGTGTCAAGGACGGGTATATAAATGGTTTTGTATTTATTCACAACTCGAAGACTAATTGCTTCACTCTGCCTCAAGGCCAAGAGATTGGTTTTAATATGACACTTCAAAAGTATTCATAGAACTACAGAGCTACTAAAAGTGTCATTGTTTTAAGAAAGAAATCTCACTGTGGTATTTGTGACCCTGAAAAATAAAAAATAAAAATCTTTCTCCAGCGCTGGAATTTTTTTATTTTTTATTTTTTTTACCTAACCAGAGTTTCATTTAAAGCTCAACTATTTAAAAACTGTACAAAGGAAAAAAAATATTAAATATGATGTTGCAACCAAAGGGAATGGGGGGAGAAACCATTTTAAAAGGAAGCATTACTTGTCTTTGGAGTGAAACCATTATGCCCTTTATAAAATCCATCCAAATTCATGATTTAAAACTTCTGATCTTCAATAAAGAACATCACCGTAAACAGAGGATAGAACATGGGCCAGTTTGGAGGTGTTTTTAATTTTTCTAGTTTTTAACTAAAAGGGGAAAAAATAGATGTTTATTAATAAGTCTTTGTTATTTTTAAAGGACTAAGTTATTTTGTCCCTTCCTAATCAATATTCTTGCAGATGTAGTTCTGGAGATGTTTAATCTTGAAATAGGTTTTTGCATTGTATGTCTTATAATTGTATGTTCTGCAGCTGCTGAGTTGGGTTACTTTGAGGATGAAATGTTGGTTATCTATCAGATATCTTCTTGATTTGAAAAGAAAAAGACATGATGTGAATAAATGCATCTGAATTTGAATATAAAGGACATGTGATTTGGATATAAAGGACATGATCTGTCAAGAACTTTTATTATGTTCTTGTACCATTGAAAGAGATGGGAGCGGTGCAGAAGGTGGAAAGTTGGAAAGTGTGCCATGATTTTTGGTCCAGGTAAAGTACATACAGTGCATTTGTTGGCATTAGGGTCACAGGACCCCCGTGAAAGTGGAAAAACCACAAATAAAAAAACCACTATACTTTTAAACTAAGAGAACACCTCTCTAGGAATCTCTAAGTCGTCCAGCACAACTCTATGGTCAACATTCGCCAGAGGTTGACCATAGAATCACCCTGGAGGACCTACAAATGCCTAGAGAAGTGTTTTCTCTAATAATTGCCAATTCCTCCAGCACAACTCTATGGTCAATTTCAAGCAGAGTTGCACTGGAGGACCTAGAGCAGGGGTCCCCATATTTTTTAAGCTGGGGGCCAGTTCCATTTGACCATTTGGTGTATGGTCTTTCTCTTTTTCTATTACCTTCTACCTTTCCTTGCATGATTCATGCGCATCACTCCGGGCACCATTTTGGAACACAAAATGGCGCCCGGCATCATGCACGCATGCACACTACTCCGGCGCCATTTTGTGTTCCAAAATGGCGCCCGGAGTCGTGCGCATGTTAGCCAGATGCCTACATGTGGTTTCAGTCTTTAGTTAAGATGGTAGTATATGGTGGGGAGGATATCTTTTGCAGGCAGGGTCCTCCTCCTGGCCATGATGGGGCTATATGGAGATTTGCAAAGTCCAGGAAATTTAAAATCCATTTGCATCTCAACAAGAACCCCTCTTTTGCAACCCAATATGTCTCCATTCCAGTGAGGTCACAGGCCTCTTTGTGTCAGAGAACAATTAGAGAAAACATATTAATCAAATTGGCAAATAATCAAATCTGCAAAAGTCAAAGCCGCAAATGTGGAGAACTGTAAAGTGATTGCAGTGAAATCTGGATTGGCTGCAATAATTTATTTGGATTTATTTGGACATGGGATTTAATTATTTGGACATTGGATTTCTTTGCAATAATTTATTTATTTCAAGGATTTATATCCCGCCACTTTCCCACAATGGGTTTCAA